CAGGAGGGGAAGACCCTCTATGAGATGGATTGATTCGGTGACTGGGGTAATCAGGATGGGTGTGTCAGAGACAGTGCAGTTGGCGCAGCATAGAGCAGGGTTTAGGGCTGTTGTGCATAGGGTTGCTATGAGTTGCAAACGACTCGACAGCACATAACAACAACAACAACACCCATTATTTCAGCAATGGATGAATTAGAGACAGCTACAATTGAAACTGTTAAGCTCTTTCACTTCAACATGTTTTCCTTTAGATTTGGCTTCTTGACATTCCAGTGCAATCTTTTGAGTCTCTTCTGACATCTATTTCGGTTTTTCTTTCTCCTCTGTTTTTGTAATGATGTTTTGCTTTCTTCATGGATAAGATCCTTGATATCATCCCACAATCCATCTGGTCTTCTACTACTGGTGTTCAATGCCTCAAATCTATTAAGATGATCATGAAATTCAGATGGAATTGATTCAAGATCATATCTTGGTTCCTATATTTTCACTTTTGTTATTCTTCATTTCTTCTGTATCTTTAATCACTTTCTTTCCATTTGAATAGTTAAAAACATCTATTAGTGGGTAAGAGCTTATGACAAAATCAGTTATGGAAAATATTTTTACTTCTTAATCTTTCTTGTATCAGTCTTTCTGCGTCCAGTGATGCATGTTAGATATACTCACTTTATTTTCTATTCTTCTTATCCTATCTTATATAGTACCATCTTTTGTGCAGGTGTATTTCATTATGGATACTTTCATGCCAATTAGTGATTCTTTCTTTGACATTATCTAATAGGGTAATAACTTAATTCACAGAACTCTTAATTGCACTTACTATATTTTTCACCCTTAAAATTTCTATTTGGCTCTTTTATCAAATACGTTCTTTTAAAAGTTTCTAACACTTTTTGAAATTTTAAAGTATAGCTTTAGCCTCCTTGAATGTTGTGCAATTAAACACATATGGCTTACAGTTTGTACCTGCTAATTTTAGGACTCAGAGTCTTGGAGGGACCTATTTCTTTGATCATGGTTTCTGATGATTTTGTTCCCATCTAGTTTATCTTGCCAGTTATATATAAACATTTTCAGATCTTGTGTTTTAAAAATTAAAGAAATAATCTGAGACTCTAAATTTGCATAAGCTTCTAAGGATTGCTACTTGGTTTTATCAGGTATCTGAGAAAAAAAAGCAATCCAAGAGTTATCTTGACACATAACTCAGATCACAGGCCATAGTCTACGATAGTTGATTTATTTTTGGTTCATCTTTAGTTTAAGGCGCAAGCTTGTGAGGTCAAAGTTCTTTGTGGAAAACTGAACTCTATTCCCTAGTTGTATGGTAAGGGCCCTGGTAGCACAATAATTAAGTTCTCAGATGAAAGGGGTTTAACAGTTTCACCAAGCAAAAGGGGAGAAAAAACCTGGTGATCTGCTGTCAGGAAGTTTCAAACCAAACCCACAGCCATCAAGTTAAATTCTGACTTACAGTGACCCTCCATCAGTCTTCCAAGGCTGTAAATCTTTACTGGAGAAGACTAATCATCTTTCTTCTAAGAGCAGCTGCTGGATGCAAAGTGCTGACATTTCACTTAGTGCAACATGATACCTATGGGGTAGTTCTAGCCTGTTATATGAGGTTGATATGAATTGAAATGTACTTGCCAGCACCTAACAATAACAAGTTTTATGATGTTAAAAACACAATTCGGTTCAAATCCACCAGATGCTCTGCCGGGGAAGGAGGGACAATCTCCTCCTGTACCAGTCAGATCTGATTTGACGGTACACGCACACACACAAATAATAAAATAAAAAAAAAAACAACACACAATTCCTTTCCCAAGTTGCCCCTTAAGAACTAGCAAATATTACCCACAGCAAAAACAAATCTGGATTGCAATCTTCTCAAAGATACAGTCCTATAATTTCTCACTATCTCATTAGATCTTGAATATTCCCCCCACTTTTTTTCTTGTGGCAGAGGTGGGATACAAAAGCACTTGAATATTTTTAATAAAAAGAATTCTTCTATTTTGCGTAACTTTCGGTTATTATCACCAAATGCTATAAATGGAGTCATCTTTTAATTTTTAAATCTTATTCTCCTCACATTTTATCACAGTATTCATTTCCTGACACTAAGTGCACATCAGTATCCCTTTTGGGTAGATTAAAAATAAAATACAGAAGAACAAAAAATTTTTGAAAGAAGATTGGAGATGCTTTATGACATGGTCATAAAAAATATGAAATTATATAGAAAACATAAGACAAATAAGAAAGGCAAAAGATAAAAGCTAAATATAATTAAGCAAACATTTTATTTTCTGTTCACTCCTGTATTTTAGTCAAGATTATTTCCACTCATATTTTCTCTCCTCAATAAGGCCATCTTAATCACGAATCTAAAATAAAAACATCTCCATCCCCACTCATTTCTGTATTTCCCCTTAACCTAATCTCTATTTCTTCGTAGCATTTATCAGTTTCTGTTTTCTTTCTCTTCCTGATATTGATTTATTATTTATCCACATTCTCCTACATTGAGTTCCAGGAGAAAAGATGTTTTGTTCTTATTATGGCTAAATTCTCAGTCTAAAAGGGTATCTGCTCAATAAATCTTGTGCAACAGCAACCTTTTCTATAAGCAAAGTCTTATTTAATAATCGTAAGAAAATAAAGCCCATAAAATAAGTTATTTATGAGGTGCTAAGTATTATTCTAAATGTTTTATATGTATTAGCTCATTTAATCTTAAATAAATCCCATGAGAATGTTGTCTGTGATACTAATTTTACAGATGGACAAGACAGACCCAGGGTGACTAAATAACCCAGACAGTATACATTGTTGTTGATATAAGTCAATGAGTTGGTTTTGATTCAGTGATCTCATGTACAACAGAACTAAACACTGCCTAATTCTGAGCAATGCCAACACACACAGCTACTAAACGTATGCTAAATGACTTAACAGTGCAGCCAAATGCTTCCTGCATCCATTAGATTAAACTCATCTGTTTCTTTTTCTATTTAATAACTCTTCAACATAAATAAGGCCAATTAAACAAAAATTCCTACTACCACCACCACAGACTTTTTGGTACATACGTGTTAGTGACTGTGCTTAGTATTTTACATATTAAACTTAATCTTTAAAACAATCTCATGATATAATTATCTTTATTTTATAAAAGAGGAAACTAAGGCTTAGGGAGGTTATGCTAGTTACCTAAAATCTAGTCAGGAAGATGTCTGATTTTAAGTTCAAATGCAAGGACTTTATTTTTTACTTAGGAGGTTTAAAAACTGCAATAAAATGTTATATTTTAAAAGAATAAAGAGGATTCCAAGATGGCAGTGGTGGAAACAGCATGGCGAGCTGTAGGAGAATCAGACCATACCAAGGAGGGCCACCATGGCCTTCTACAGACGTCTGTTTATTGATAATTGAACAGTTAAACAGTTGATAACTGGTCTTCAGTGTGGATCGAGGCTCAACATAAGGAGATCAAGGATTCCCAGGAAGGAATGGGTGAGCCCTGTGGCTCCCAGCTCTCTGTGGCTCCCACCGCCGGACCCCAGGGATCCCCTCACCTGGGATGGAGCGTAGCACCACCACCCCACCTCCACCCCCTGGGGCTGGTGCCACAGAGTGGACTTTTGGGAAAAATTCTTGGAGCCAGATGGGGGCGGCGGGAGACACAGTGGCAGGTTGGGGTTTCCTTGGGCAGGCCAGAGAGGAAGATCACCAATACAATGGATTGATGAGAGCCATTGTGAGCTGTCTACGACTTGACGACACTTAACAGTGGTAGCATGTCCAAGATGGCAGATATCCTAAATGCACCACATCCTTTGATTTATTGACTGCCTCTGCCAAGAACGGCTTAGATCCGGGAGGAGGGAGGGGTTCCTGTTCAGCACTCTCAGGTTCCCTTCTCCATATATAAAGGGGGAGGGCAGTGACACCTACTTCAAATTACAGTATGACCACTTACTGGGGGGAGGTGTAAAGGCAGCAGTGCTAGAATTGGGGATGCTGTCCCTGGCTACATGGTCTTCAGTGTGGCACAGGGTCCAGACTTGGGTGAGGGACTTTGGTGGGGGAGTATGCCAGCCAGCCCCTAGGGTGTCACCTGGCCCTCGAGGGGTGCTGTCCAGCTCTTGGGGTGGGCTATTTGGCCCTGGGGGAGAGCTGTTTGGCCCTTGAGGGGCGGGGCAAGCCATTCTCGGCCCTCGGGGTGAGCTCCTCAGCCCTCAGGTTGTGTCATACGAACCCTGGGTAGAAAAAAACTGCCTAGGGTGTAAAGAGAATTTTATCTAGGCTACTTTCCTCCACCCTCTCCCCCAGTACACCCTAAGTAATACTCCCAAAGCCCTTCAATTTGTAATTCACAAGTTTGTTCTCTCTAGGTTTGCTCCCTTTCATATAGTTAAACCCTGAGTTTTACTCCAGACCAGACCCTGAACCCAGTTCCAGAGACAAAAAGGAAATACAACTGCCAGCTAACGAAGCAAAGGAGGATGGAGCCTCAGGGTTCAGTCAGCCATCCCCACTGGACCCACCTGGGAAACCTTTGCAGTCCAGAGGGGAGTAAAAGACAGGAAAGTATCTTCTAACAGAACAAGAAGGCAAGCAGCTTTAACCCAAGACCACCAGTAAGGCGATAAAGTGTGCTCCCTTCCCCCCTTCACATCAACACCCCTGTTCAGCATGAAGGAGCCAGAGTGTGTGCCCAATTCGCAAATGAGAAACCCACAAGTGAATAAGGCAGTTTGTTTAATCACCATTGGACTATGCTTACCATTGCCCTGTATCATCTGGTCCCTACTAGATCCTTTTCATTTCCTTCACCTGCTACCCCCACCAACCAAACTGTGCAGCCCTGCAACTGCAGCCCTGCAATTTTCATCTCTGCCCACCCTCACTCTTCTGCTCCTTCCTTGTATCCCCAACATGTTTTTCCCAATTAAATTAAAAAAAAAAAAAGGATAAACAAAAAAAGCATTACATACATCCACTTCAGGTACATACTCTTCGGGTTTGTCCATAAATACTGAGGAGACTGGAACAGATGTGTTTTTGGACATCATGATCTTTAATGGAACTTCATGAAAGATTTGATTTCTCTCTCTCATTGTCATTTTCTTTGGTGGAAGTGGTGAATCAATATAAATTACTTTAATAGGTTTTGAACCTTAAAACAAAACAAAACAAAAAAAATAGGGGATGATTCTTTTCTAGCAATTATGTAAAAAGAAAGAAAAAAACAAAACAAAAAACCAAGTCCAGGTATATCTGACAGAAAGATCACTATACAAAGATGAACAAAATAGGAGAGGGAATGTATATCTCAAATATTTTCTACCCTTGAACTAAACCTTTAAAGTTCCTTGGAGATTTCAAGGCAAAATAATCTGACTGGTTAGAGAAATATGCACTTTTAAATGTACTACTTTTCAAGGATTATCTTATTTTTTAAATTATATTTTTATTATTTTGTGCATGTCTACCATCAAATGGGATCTGACTGGTACAGGAGGAGACTGCCTCTCCTTCTCCAGCAGAATCTGGTGGATTTGAACCACAAGGATTATCTTTTTACTATTAAACTTTTATCATCGTTATAACCTATTTCATACAGAGTTGCACTTTGAAAAAGTTTTGAAGTCAAAGAATAGGACAACTAACTCTGAGGTTTTGTCTCATTAAACATTTCTTCACTTACTATAATGAAGATATTTAGAATTATATTAGTCATGGATGATAAAAATATAAAATTGAGATAATAAAATAAAAATGAAAATATAAATAATGATAAAATAGAAAATAAAATTATAATCATGGTAAATGATAATAATATTAAGTATGAACCAAAACAAAGAAATTGTTAAAAATAAAAATTTATGGGCAAATGTTAATTCTACTATTAAGGGAAGACTACCCAAGCTTATAAATATCCAAACGAAAAGCCTACTGTGGTTGAATCTCACTCAAAGTGAACTGGCAGAATAGGGTAGAACTGAGCCCCAGGGTGTCTAAGGGAGCTCTTGTAGTCCACAGGGATTTGCACTGCTAACCCAAAGGATGATGGTCTGAATGTATCAGCAGCTCCAACGAAAAAGATGGCACTCTCTTCCTGTGTAATTTAGAGCCTTGGAAATTTGCTGGAGGATGGGCTATGAATCAGTCACAACTAGGCAGCAATGAGTAAAAGTGACAGGGTTTCCCAGAGTGCAAATCTTTAGGAAATCTGACTGTCACATCTTTCTCCCAGAAAGCCATTTAGGAATGTGAACTGCTGAACTTTCAGTTAACAGGTGAATGCTTAGCCACTCTGTCACCAACGATGCTTCCATGACTATAATGCTACTTTAGCTCTGAATTCCAGTAAGAGACAATGAGTCCTGAAAACGGATCCATTTGAGATTAGCTAATAAAAATATTAGATAACTTCATAAAGGGAGCTCTAGTGGTCTCATCCAATAGGGTATTGCATTGCTAACCAAAGGTGGTGCCTCCCTGTTTGAAACCAACCCCATGTGATTTACTGCCTCAGAAAATTTCCTGACAGGCGGGCTTAGTTGGTTCCAACTTGATGGCAATGAGTTTGAATTCTGAATAAAGTTGTGTTGAGTCAGAATCAACTCATAGCTGACCCTCCAGCAGGCTTTCAGAGGTGGTAACTGCACAGGAGGAGATTGACCATCCTTCTTCCATGGAGCAGCTGATGGATTCATAGTGTGCCTTCTTTGGGTTGGCAGCACATCTCCTTACAACTAAGCTACCACAGCTCCTGAAGTATTACATCCTTTTCCTTTCAGAGAAAGACAGAAGAACTCTACCCTCATCAAAGATTCATGGTCATCCCAGGACATCTCGAATTACCCCTTATCCTCCAACATGAGTAAGGATACTGCAGACCTAGTAATTCTTCCAGGTCAATTTTATGGTAGTCTATGTAGAAAAATTTCTAATGAATGCAAATGTCAAATTTACATTTCTTAGCAAAAAAGAGGAAGTGTCTTGATGAACTGTCCTAGTGACTATAACAATGGGCTGACGCACAGCCAAAATGGTGAGGATGCCACAGGATTCTACTCTACACAGGGTCATTAGTAATTGGAGTCAATAAATTCTAAGTTAAGACTTTCATATGCTTGACAATCACCATATAATTTTAGGCAATTGACACGGGACCTTTTTTGAGATTACTTGATTTAGCAAATCACAAACCTTCAACAGGTATTAGTTGAACACACACAGGAATTTCCCACTGTTCCTTATAGCTTGGTCCATAATTATTTAATAAGGTAAATAATGACTGACTAGTAAGAGCAACTTGTGGGTGATATCTTGAAACAAGCTTCTCTGCATTGGGATCATTACTGATATTCTGGAAAAAAAAACCAACAACAACAACAACATTTAACTTGTTAGTTGATTATAAATGCAAAAAACTTCTCAAAAACTGAGAAAGTAATGGAAAGTAGGGAGAAATTTGGAAAGGGGGCTTTAGAACAATCAAGTTATAGGTCCTTTGTGATATACAGCATATTATCTAGGAAAATCTAAACAAAATCTTACTACTTACATCATGCATAGCTGCAGCTATTTGTTCCGCTGTTTCAGTGGAAGCAATGTTCTCTTTTGTTAGCTGCAGCTTTGCAGGCATCGAGGGAAATACGGTTTTCACATATTTTACATTTCCCTAAATAAGAAAAGAAAATGCTTTATTGCATAAATGTTGATATAATTTTATTTTTTAAGTGTCTCTTCACCACGAGATGCTCAACTTCTACTAAATGAAAATGCCAGACTTAGAGTCTCCTTAGACAAAGACTATATTTTCTAACCTTTCATTTTATGAACTATCAGTACAGTAAAAATTCCAAAGTACCCTCTTCGTAAACACTTATTTCCAATACGGCTGGGAGTAAAACCCCTTAAAAGAAAAATAAGCACTAGGGAAGACTGCAAATAACAGACGGAAAACAAGAAATAAAGCTGATAATGGTGTTTGCAAAAACAAATACAAAACAGCAAGTAGAAATGTTGTTATTAATACATAAAGAGGCTGATTTGTACACAAAAATATTTCAATCAACATATAAATGGATAAATAAAAATGGTATACACATATAATGGAAGAGTACTCAGCCATGAACAGAAATGAAATTCTAAGACATGGATAAACACTGAAAATGTAAGTGGTAAATGGAAAAAAAAAAAGAATTCAGCTATAAAATTATAAATATTATATAATCCTATTTATATGAAATATCCAGAATAGGAAAATACACAGAGACGAAAGTGGTTACCACGGTCTCAAGGAGGGAAAGATATGGAGTCATTGCCAAAGGAATGATTATTTAAGGTAAAAAATACCCCACACACCCATGGAAATGGAGAGTGGTGATATTTGTACAACACAGTAATTGTAATTATATCAGAGCGTACACTTAAAAATGGTTAAAATAGTAAATCTTTTGTTTTTATATATTTTACCACAATAAAAAAACACTACAGTTCAAGATCAAAATTTATCTTAAAATATAATATACATTAAGATATAAAGATGCTTCAGACAAAAATAAGTTTATACTGTTAAGTAACAAATATTACCAATGCAAGAAGAGTCTTCTCTAATTTTAATCCCATATCTGTTCTGAATGGGAAGAATCCCATTAAGCTGGTAACTTCATGGAGAGTATAGAATTCTGGGTACTTTTTTACTTGTTCAATGCCAGCTTTTAAAGTTTGCTAGGAAATAAAAAGAAGATAAAAGTAATTTGTAAAAAAACAAAGTAATCTTAAAATAAAGAAAATATTTTCATTACATGTGGATATAAAATTACACATCCTAACATATGAGCAAGAGCCTATGGTGATGAAGGAAGAAGTTCAA